GGATTAATGAAGTACTTCAATTGTTGCACAAGGCAGTTTAGCAAATAGCATGAGCAAATCCACCACCACATAATGGTGTGTGCAATAGCTGCTTTGCTTTTCTAAACCAATTAGCTTCTTCTCGCTGTTACATTATCCTGATCTGAAGCAAATTCCAGTGCTATTCAAGGAAAAACACAGTGCAAAGCCCTGCTTTCCCTGCCTTGCACACAGTTTGTGTCCTAGCATTGGCGAATGTGCATCTCCATTACAGGGCAGATCACATTACCAACTTGAGACATCAAATAAAAACCACAGATCCTGCAACCACCTCTCCTACAGCAAAGTTGTCCTCACAACATGAAACAAAATTATGTCCCTAAATGCCATTTTGAGGAGCTGGTGTGAGCAATCCATTGTGTAAAGGGACACACAGCCCTAGTTTCTGACACACCACAAGGTCGCTTGCCCAGAGAGGTTGTGGAGTCTCCTTCTCTGGAGATCTTCCAAACCCGCTTGGATGCAGTCCTGTGCCATGTGCTCTAGGTGACCCTGCATGTGCAGGGGGGTTGGACTAGATGATCTCTAGAGGTGCCTTCCAACCTTCAGCATTCTATGATTCTATGATTTCTGGTTTCTCCGCTGCTGACATGCATAATTAACCCAAAAGACCTGGCATTAATAAGCTGAAATTTTGGCTCTTTTTCATAGAAATTCCTTTTGCCTCCTTTGTACAGCAGAGGAGAGGAAAAGACTCAAAAAAGGCAAATTATCAGAAGTCTTCAACACATAATTCCAAGTTAGTGGTGGAAGGGAAGCAACAGCCAAGGTTATCAGCTTTTAAGATGCAGGCAGCACAACTAGGTTCAGCACACAGCAGTTCACACTTCTCCCATTACATTACACAGGACAAGTTACATTAGATTCTAATACCAGTAAAGGTGTGAGAAGAGAGCCCATGTGCAGCACAAGGTTGGCAGCAAAGTTTATCGCTTAAGTCCAAAGAACAACAAATCCAAACAAAGGATCATTTTTCCACATTGAAAAGGACATAGAATGAAGAAACAAATATATTGTTTCCCACCAAGCAAAACTTGAATGACAGATTGCATAACTTATGGCTACATAAGCGTCATGTACAACACATTTCTGGAAAATAATGAAGGAAGTAACCAGGAGAAGATGTTCAAACTCCCCCCAAAATGGTTCATAGCACCATCAGAACAAGCAAGAGCACAGCTGTAAAGTCACTGTGAGGATTTGTCTGGAACCACCGAGATAAAACACATCCATTTAGTTGAGTTACACAACCCAGATCTCACACCCATCTCAACTTCCCAACAGGGAGATGCCAAGCAGCACAAGAGGGCACAAGCCCACGTAAAAAACACCCCAAAACTCCTCCAGTTACCAGAACAAGGAACACACCTCATGCTAACAGCAGGGAATGCAAAAGTTCACTCTCACTTCACCTGCCCTGGCTGGCCAAAGGAAAGAGCTCCTGCGCTTAGCCTGGCGAAGCTGCTGGTGTCCAAGCTTTGGGGACCTATGTTTCCTGCCAGACCTCTAGTTGGCTGGCGTCAGTGACTGAAAACAGCCACTGGGGTCAGTTTTGAAGAAGGAAGCCAGTATTACAAGCTTACAAACCTCATTTATTTGGGAAATGGCTAAAAATATCCTGTCAAAGCCACGTGAAACGAGAACCCACAGCACCTCCTGAGCTCACAGATGGCCTTTCCTCCTGCAGTGAACCAGGATCTGCAGGGAAGGTGCCCTGAAGCCCCACAGCAGAGAAGGGAACCCAACAGGCCCCAGCAAGCAGAGAGCCCCAGGACAAGGGGGACACAAGCACTTGCTCCATAGACTTCCAGCTTGGGAACCTATTCACACAGATCCTAATCACATCCCAGAGGGACAGGCCAAGCGCTTGGGCACAACCAGAGGTGACAGGGAGGGAAAACATCCCTGTTCAGAGCTTCACCACAGACCTCGCTCCAGGGAGGAAGAGGAGCAGCCTGCACTCTGCAGCATCGGGTCACTGCATCCAGGCAGCTGCCCTGCTCCAGCAATTGCTCTCAGTCCTGGCAAAGCCCAAACGAGGAGATTCCCACCAACTGCTGCGCTCCTACCTCTCTGGAAGCCGGGCACAGCCAACCTGCCTCTGCTCTGTCCCCTCCAGAAGGCAACCCAGGAGCAGCTGAGCCTCCTTTTGTGCTAAAGCTCTACTGCAGGAGAGGACTCTCATTAACAGGCACGGAAGCACCTGCCCCCCCTCCCACCAGCCCGGGGAGCCTGATGGGGAATTGGAACCAGCTGCTGCTGCTTCTCCATGAGCCCCCTGCCCAGCCGAGCCCTCTGCTCTCCCATAGGGGCTCCAGGCAAAGCCGCCCCAAGCCCTGTGGTGTGGGGTGCTCCGCTAAGTGAGGCTGCACGGGTGTTATCCCTGTGCGCAGCCACACGGCTTGTGATCCCTCTGCACCCCCTGCTCCCAGCCCAATGGAGCGCCCCATGCAGTCAGGATCACCCTGATCCTGGTGCCCACGGTGCCGCTGCTGCGTTCGCAGCCCCCTGCTCTGGCTGAGGGCTGGCAGCACTGCAAGGAGGGAGGTGACGGCTGCGGAGCTCATAAACAGCCCCGCTGCGGCTCCTCGTGCAAAGAGGTGCCACAAACGTCCCCGTGCGAGGGGAGCGGACACGCTCCCAGCTCCCAGCGCCACTGCCTGTGAACCCCAGCCCGCAAGCAGAGCAGGAGGCCCTGCTCTCCGCTCTGCACATCCTCCCGCGGAGGCTGCGGGCGGCTCGCAGCGAGCGCCCTCCTGCTGAGTGCTCTTTCCAGCAGGTGGCACGGCTCCATTGGGAACCACGGCCTCGTTCGGCCCGCAGCTCTGTCCCCAAACACACCCGGTCCAGCCCGCTCCAAGCTCTCCGGCAGCACGTGCAGCCAACAATGCAGGAAAAGCCACTCCTGGGCAAGATCCACCATAAAAAAGTGCGGATCCTTGTGCATGGGCTGGGAAGGAGAGGGATAGAAAGCCAGTCCGTAATTCTGCCAGCCCTTCTGCCTTTCAGCTCGCGATGTGACGGGATGGAAGGATCCAGGACCCTGATTCTCCAAAGCTTGTGCTTAGTGTAGCAAAATTAGTCACTTCTTCCCTGGGTCTTGAGCCTATTTTGCTCTAATCAGACAGGGGGGAGTGAAAACACAGTGTCCCTGCAGTCCGTGGGGCCCAGGGGCACCAAGGGCGGGCAGGGCACTGGGCTGCCACCACCAGCATGCCTGGAAACCTGGAGAAGTCTGTGTGGGCAGTGCTTGACCTGGACGCGGAGCCTGCGGCGCCTTGCCCCTCCGCCTCGGGTGGGCTTTATGCAGGGACAGAGGCCCTGGCAGGGAAGCTGCTCTTGCTCCGGCGACACGCGGATCGGGGATGCGGATGGCGTGTGGCATGGGGAACGCGCAGGGGCTGGGGACGAGCCCTCGCTGCCCTCCCCCGTCAGAGCCTCCTCCGCAGACGGGA